GTGGGGAGAAGCTGGATCAGCCCTCGGGCACCCATTGGGACGCTGAAACGGGTCTGGGTCATCATGAGGGCTCTGGTGTGGTGTTTGCCATCAGCGTCCCCTTTTTCCCAGCAGTATTATATTTTTTTCTGTTATTATTCAGCAAAGTGAAGTGAAGAAAAGCCACAAAAGCTACGGCCTGGGCTCACGGCTCTGTGTTTAAAAAATCATGAGTTGAAGCCTTCTAACCCAATTTAAGGCCATTGCAGGCTGGGAAGTGGTCAGGGCTACCCCAGATGGGAAGATCCCATGGGGATAGGAATTGGGAGGGGTTGAATTTGGGGGTGGTTGAGCTTTTGGGTGGTGGCTGCGATGCCCATGAAGTCCCAAGCCAACCCACAGCCCCTTGCCACTCGCAGCTCCATCCCCAAAAACACGGTGGGGTGTCCCCAAAGAGGCGCTGCTGGGGCAGAGATGCCCCATCTGTGGGTGATGGGGTTCATCTCCTCGTGCCCCCCAGTTTTTTGGTTGGAAATCCTGCTCCTCCTCAGGACGGGGATTTTTTCCCCCAATTTCTGCCCCAGAGCCAGCCCTGCTCACCCTCCTGATGCTCCATGAGCAGCCAGGATTGTGGTGGCAGGGGATGAGCAAGGGACTCATCCTTGAATGTGCAGCTCCATGATGGTCCAGAACCCCACCCCTGCCCACAAAAGGGTCCCCAGAGTGGGATCTGGGGCCTCCAGGCTGATGCGACGCCAAGCGAGAGGGTCTGTGCTTAGGAAAGGGGAGGCGGTGCAGCCAAGAGGGTCACTTGCGTTTCAGCGGCAAGCGATTTGAAATCTGAACGGGCAATTTCACCCCATTTCATTCCTTTGAAAGAGAAATCGGGTTTGGCTGTCGCGGTGGCTCTGCCTTCTTAACGAGGAGCCTGCAATTACCATAGGCTCTGGAGAAAGGTAGGGCTGGCGCAGAGAGGTAATGGGCTAAATTGGGCTAAATTGGGCCAAATTGACGCAACTGGCAAAACCAGAGACGTGGCCCAGGCTCCCCAACCAGCCCAGCAGCCCCAGGTGCAGCCGGGCGCTCGCCTGCTTCCTCCAGCCGCATCAATTTGTCTGCTAAATGCTATTACTGCTCCTGCCCAGCTCTTCCTCCTCCTCCTCCTCAGCCCCTCTGACCTCCTGGCCATGGTGGGAAGGTGAGAAAGGGAAAGCGGCGGCTCCCGGGGCTGGCGGGGGGAACAGGAGGCGAGGAGGACCCATCCAACATCATTTAGCAATGGATAACGCATCCGGAGGTCCCAAGACGGTGGCTCCCATGGGATGCGCTGCCCGGAGCTCAACCACTTCAGCAAAGGGATGGATGCCATGGCCAGGTGAGCGTGAAATCCCTCAAAATCCCTGTCTCTGGCAGGCTGTGGGTCCTTTCTCAACATTGCGCTTCGCTCGCTTGGGGAATTATGAAATTATGGGGATGTTTGTCCTGTTTTCTACTTAGAAAAGAAAAAAAATCCTATCATTTTTGGCTTTGCTAAGGGAAATTTGGGCAGTGCTGTTGCTCATCCTTCTCCTGACGGGCAGGGACAGACAGCGCCAGCAGCACTCCCGTTATCCAGGCTAATCTCTTTAGTGCTGCGAGAAATTCCTCACGTCCTCACAAATTGCTCCCTTAATGAGATCTTTCTTGGCCTTAATGACTTTGGAGGCAGACGAGCGAGGAGCAGTGCCCGTCACCCGAAGGGACGCTGGGATGGGGAAATTTGGCATTGGATCACGGCCCCGGAGTGGGCTTGGGATGTACCCCCCCGCTCCATCCCCTGGCCTTGTCCCTGTTCCCAGCGTCACGTTGGAGTCCAAGGTTGTCCTGGCTGCAGTCAGGGGTCTCTAAATAACACAGAAATGCCATTAACAGCAGAAATTTGTCCTCTGGGGGCAGGTTTGAAGAACTCCAGTAAAATTTTCCTCATGGATCTAGAGCTCTCTGGTAACACCAGCTCTGAAGCAGCATCGTTTCCTCTCCCCATCTCTGGCTGTTTTTTGGACACAGATCAGAGAGGATGGAGCGAGGCCCCAGGAGGTGGCGTCACCACCCGGCACTGTCCCCTTCTGCCCTGGGAGCGCTTCACCTCCTGCCTGGGCTGCGATGCTGTCTCGGTCCATGCAGGAGAAGCTCATGGTCACTGCAGTCATGGTGACTCAGGGTGCTTGGGCTTGGAAGATGACAGCCCTTGGGTGCATGGGGCTCCTTAGCTATGGTGGGACCAGCAGCAGAGCCCCGGTTCCCCCTTGGTCCTTTTTGGTGAGTCCAAATTCCTCCATCCTGGGTCCTCCGGGATGAGAAAAGTCTTAGCAGTCACTCGCTTTGAGTCCGAATCAAACCCCGCGGCGTCAAGGACCAGCGCCGGGGCCACCACCGTGCTACAGCTCCGTGGTGGTGACCTGGGTCACTTCTGAGCGTGGGTCGTCCCCGCCACGCCCCCCGCGCCCCCGGCAGCCCCGCTGGAGGCTGCCCGCGTCCCGTCATGCCGGCTGCTCGCGGGTGTCGGAGGGGGCGCAGGTGGAGACGTGCTCCCGCATGGTGTTCCTGGCGCGGGAGAAGCTGTTCTGGTCCACGCGGGCGCGGAAAGGGAGGCAAAACTCCCGGAAACACCTCTTGAAATTCTCATCCAGGAACGCGTAGAGGACGGGGTTGAGGCTGCTGTTGGTGTAGCCCAAGGCGATGCAGAAATGCAGGCTGGCCACCACGTAGGGGTTCTTCTTATCGATGTCCACCAGCGTCCAGACGATGACGAAGATGTGGATGGGCGTCCAGCAGATGATGAAGGCTGCCACCACCACCAGCACCATGCGCGTGATGCGCCGCAGGTTGCGGTCCTTCTCCTTGGAGCCCGAGAGGAGGCGGACTCTCTTCAGGCGAAGTATCTTCAGCCCGTAGCAGATGGTGATGACCAGGATGGGCACCATGAAGGCGAAGATGAAGACGCAGATCTTGGTCACGGTGTCCCAGTAGATGGGAGGATTGGGAAACTGGAGCGTGCACAGCACCACCCCGTCTGCAGAGAGAGGACCATCAAAAAGAGAAGTCTTTGCTGTAAATACTGTCTCCTTTCTGCTTGGTCATGGTTGGACATGTCCATGGCTGTTGAAAACCCAAGGAGATGCTCGCCCACCCACTAGCTCTTTGCAGAGCTTTGTGCCACCACCCTTGGGGCGCCAGGGGGAGGCAATGGGTGCAGTGACCCAGGGGTTTGTTCCCCACAGACCCTCCTGGCCATCCCCATGATGTCCCTTCCCGTGGTGGACACGTCCCTGTGTCACCTTCCACTGAACTCTGCCCACTTCATGAAAGATTCACAGAATGGTTTGGGTTGGAAAAGACCTTTAAGATCATCCAGTCCAACCATCAAAGCACCTTCCTGCAGGGGCCCAGAGCTTGCCCAGCAACCAAAGGCCGGTGTCCTCACACTCCAATACTATTGGGGGTGGTTTTAGGCACCCAATTCACACCCCAAGAGCTGGGAGAGGCACTGGTTGGACTGGAGATGGGGAAGGGGAGGACAATTTCTGGGATGGTCTCCAACCATGATGGAAAACAACACCGTGATGACTTTTCCATGGCAGGGCATTTCATGGTCCCGTGGAAGGGTGACAACACTGAGCTCAAACCTGCTACAGGACCAGGCAATTTGGGTCTGTCAGGGATGGACAGAGGGGACCTTTCCTCAGAAGCCACTTGCCTTTGGACTTGGTGACCGCCATGGCCATGATGGGCACCCCGATGAGCGAGGAGAGCACCCAGATGCAGACATTGATGATCTTGGCTTTGGCCGGGGTCCGAAACTCCAGGGCCTTGACCGGGTGGCAGACGGCGACGTAGCGGTCCACACTCATCATGGTGAGGGTGAAGATGCTGGTGAACATGTTGTAGTAGTCAATGGAGAGCACGAGCTTGCAGAGCAGCTCCCCGAAGGGCCAGGTCTCCATCAGGTACTTGGCGCTCTGGAAGGGCAGTGTGCTGGTGGCCAGCGCGTCGGCCAGGGCCAGGTTGAAGATGTAGATGTTGGTGGCCGTCTTCATCTTGGTGTACCTGGGGGTGGCAGAGAAGGGACCCGTTACAGGCGGTCAGGGCTGGGTTACCATGCCCAAATATGCGTCTGGGCACTCAACGTGATAAGGAGAGGACACAGCCTGGCTTTCCTTGGCCACTCGCAAGGTGCCACCACCCATGGTAGGTGTTTGGTCTTGTCCTTCTGCAGCATCCATGTGCGCAGCACCTTTCTGGATGGAAAACACTCATGGTCATGTGTGGTTTAGTGCGTGTTGAAGTCCCAGGGCCTGAGCACGGGGTTGCTCTCGCGTGTGTTGAGCTGGGACCTTATCAACACCTGCAGAACACAGCTTGAACCCTCCAAAGTGGGGATCCCTTACCTGACCAGAGAGGTGACCCTCATTCACGTAACTGCCTTTATTCAATGGAAATCTTAAAAAAAAAACAACCCAGAGAAGTCACTTGTCCAATTAAATGGATTTACTCCATTTCCCTGAAAAAACCTTTTCTTCCTGAAATCTCCTCCATCAGATTTTTTTCCACACAGTAAATGATGATCACCTGCCCTGCTTCCCCATCGACTTCACTTGCAGAAATTGGATCGATCACCCCTGGAAAAAGGGGCCATCTGGCAGCGCCCCAATGAGCCCGGCTGGAGCTCCAGGGCCTTTGGAGAAGCCTTGGCCACCACATGGGGCTCGGGACCACCGTGCCACATTGGGCAAGGGTCCTTGTCACATCGTGGTAAGAGAAACACCCGCTCCTGAGCACTAAAATCCTTCCTGGAGTGGTGAGGTGTGGTTTTGGTGGGTGCTGGGGCCGTGGGGATGGGTGCACATCTCCAAGGTGATGCTTTGAAGGACGCGGTTGGTTTGAAACGGCCACGCATCCCCACTGCCCGGGAGCTGCGGGGGGGTCCCCAAAGGGTGAAATATTGGGGTGGGGGCTTGGTGCCCCCCTCCCCCCGTTGTTTGAGAGGTGACACCAGCAGCTCAAGCCCTTCCCTTGTGTCCCTTCCTGTCGCTTGGAGCATCCTCCGCAGCCAGAGCTCGTTTAGATGCACCCTAATTAAAAAGCGTCAGTTAGACCGCAAGCGTCTCTGTGCATGCCTAAACCTGCCCGTAGCATCCCCAGGGGGTCGGTGCTGGATGGGGGGAGCTGAATTTGAATCCGGCTCTGGCGCATGGAGGAGACAACCCCTTGGCTGCCGGATGAAACGACATCGGCACAGCTCAGGGAACAACCCCATCGTGATGTGGTGGGGACGCAGGGGAAATTGGGGCAGGGGGCTCGCATAGCCCCCATCTCAGGTGGTTGTTGCTTTTCCACCCTGATGGAGACCAGGAGAGCTCCTGGGTTTGGTGGTCCCTTCCCTTCCCTTCCCTTCCCTTCCCTTCCCTTCCCTTCCCTTCCCCCTTTTCTCCATCCCAGCAGGGTCAGGAGGGTGCACTTGTATGGGCTCAGCCCCACTGGGTTATACTGGGAGACAGAGGCTGCAAAAAACCCCATTTCTCTCCAGGAGAAAACAGCAGCTCGGGTTGGCTCCCAGCCCCAAGGCGTTCACTTCACCTTCACCTTGGCTGCAAGTGCCAGCCCCTTGCCCAAGGGTGGAAATACTTGAGTGGAACTGGGGTTCTTTTTATTTAAAATATGGCATAAAGAATGCCTTTTCCTTGAAAAGCCCTTTTCAGATCTCTTTAGTGTTATTTTCCGAGCTCTTTTGCAAATGCATCTCCTAGAGAAGTTTTACTCCAGGGTAAACAAAAGAAAAAACCCTGAGAATTTGTGTTATTGTCAGGTTTTTGCCTCAGCACGATTAAAAAAACAGTCACTTCAGGTAGGTTCACACTTCTTTGATCCTTGCTTTTCAAGTGAAGTTGGAAAAAAAACAGTTTTTCATGCTGTGCTGTGCCAGTGCTGGGGAAGCACTTCCCAAACCCTGCCAGGGGTGAGGGAGTTGGGGGGGCTGGGGCTGTAACCCCCTCCCTGGGCAGGACTGGGGCTGTGCTGGTGAGGGCAAGGCAGCGATGGGGATGGCGGGGATGGTGGGGGTAACTGGGATGATGGGGATGACGATGATGACTGGGATGATGGGGTAACTGGGATAAGACGGGGTAACTGGGATGATGGGGTTGATGGAGATGACAAGGATGATAGGGATGACTGGGATGATGGGGATAACTGGGATGATGGAGATGAGGAGGATGATGGGGATAACTGGGATGATGGGGACATTGAGGATGATGGGAATAACTGGGATAACAGGGATAACTGGGTTGATGGAGGTGAGGAGGATGATGGGGATAACTGGGATGATGGGGACGATGGGGATAACTGGGATGATGGGGACAATGAGGATGATGGGAATAACTGGGATAACAGGGATAACTGGGTTGATGGAGGTGAGGAGGATGATGGGGATAACTGGGATGATGGGGACAATGAGGATGATGGGAATAACTGGGATAACAGGGATAACTGGGATGATGGAGGTGAGGAGGATGACTGGGATGACAGGGATATCTGGGATGATGGAGATGACAATTTAGCCCTCAGAGCTGGGGTTTTGGGGCAGGATTCAACTCCTTCCATGACCAAGCTCAGGGTCAAACCCACCTGGGGTGGGGGGTCCATTCTGGTGACCCCCACCCCGCCCCCCAGAGCTGCAAATGAAGCTGTTACTCCAGGAAAAACGCTTCAGCCCTGCAGCAGAGTGAAGCAGCTGCTTGTGCTGATGGGGCTCCCCGGGCTGTCGAAGCCACGGCAATTAAGCGAGTGCCTTGATTGGGAAGTTACACACTTGAACGATGCAATCTGGAAGGTGTTTGATGGAGAAACGGGGCTCGAGGGGATGCAGCGAGCGCAGGGCGGCTCCAGCAGCATCTGGACCCCCCAGACAGGGACCCCTTGGCTCTGCCAGCCTCTCAGAAAAAGAAATAAGTGAAGGAAAACCCTGGAAAAACTCCTAGGGTTGTTAAAAGCCACTGTTTTGGGCTTAAAAAAGCCCGGCTTCCCAAATCCGAAGGGATGCCCTGGCAGCTGTGCAGGAGCTGCGGGGGGCTGATGGGGGCTGATGGGCTCTGCGGGGCCGCAGGCGCTCACAGCTGCAAATTTGCTTCCGGGGGGATTTAAAAGCGCCTGAGGAGGCAGCGGGAACTGCAGCGTCCGTCAGAGCTGTCGGTCGTGGTGGTGTCGCGGGGCTGAGCTCCCCCTGTGCGTGTGGTTGGGTTTTGGCTGCTCCAGGGGAGGGGAGATTTGGGGTTCGGCTGTGGGGTAGGGGGGAGAGGTGCTGGGTGCCCATCTGGGAAGTGCAGCAGGGTCCTGCGTGTCCTGCATGTAAAGGCTCAGGGCTGCCTCCCCAGGGACCTCCAGGTCCCCGTGCCCCCCAGGATGGGCTCCAGCCGCGCTTGCAGACTGCACCCCACATGGGTGGTGGGAGGTGACACCGGCAGGGCCACCAGGGAAATGCCCAGTGTCTCCCCAGCAGCGAGATCTGAACTGGGGCCAATACCATTTCACTCCATCCCACACAGGTTTCCCCAGTGGAGCCTAACTGGGCCTGGCCTAAACCAGCTGTGTGGAGCAACTGTGCCAGTGAACCCCCATGAAACTGGTGGGCTTGGTTGGGCCCCCCTCCTGTCCCGGGGGCTCAGAGGACGGTGATTGTCCATTCCCTGGGGGATGTGTTTAATTCCAGCATCATTTGGTGTGTCCGAAAACTGGGGGGTTGAATCCGCGGTGATGAACTCTCTGGATGCTGCGGAGTCAGGCTTTGTGAAGCACGGGTAACATCAGATTACTCAGTGAATTAAATGGGGACGATGCTGTTTGCACATTCAAATCATCTCTATGAAATGCCTTCCCTCTCCTGGAAGAGCAGAAGCAGCTGGAGGGGGCGTAATAACCCCCATCCTTCACCGTGACACCGTGCATGGTGTTATGGCTCCACAACAATCACCTTCATTTGCTTTTCCACTCCGGGGCTGATTTTTAAACCCCTCTCTGAGCGGATGAAAAACCCCGTCCGGTGCCAGGAGGGGTCAGCAAGTGCGCCCCCCCAGCCCGCTCCTCATCGCCCACCCTCTGGGATGGTTAAAAATACACAGCTCTGACCCAAAACGGGGGGAGCCAGTGGCAGTGCAGCCTGACGCAGGGGTGACGGGCAGCGCGGTGCGGCCCCCTGGGCACGTTTCGGGTTGGTTTCCTTCCCCCCAGTGAGTCATCGCATATATTTTATGCGCAGGCTGTGTCGGGCCGCGCTGACCTCCCATAACGATGGACTGGAAGTGCTGGGGGGGGATGGAAACAGTTAAAAATGGGGCTTTTTTTTTTTGGGGGGGGTGCCTATATCCAGCTACAAGCTCTGGTTTGGCCTCATGGGCCCACATCAGCCCGGACAGGATCCACAAGCACCTCGTTGGCCCCCCAGCTACTGAAAAGGGGGGTTTGGGGTCCTGTGGCTTGTGCTGGGGTCCAGGGACCCCGCAGCCCCCCGAGGTCCTGCCCTGACACTTGCTTTCCCAGTGTGATACTGGACGGAGACAAAGCGGGGTTCAGGGTCCCCCAGGGTGTCACCACCGCTGGAGTAGGGACCTGGTGTTAGGGGGGCGTGTGGG